CCCCAAAACCCCAAAACCCCAAAACCCCAAGATTAATGATTTTGGTTGAAGTTTTAGATTAGAAAGAAGATTTGAGCGGTAACTTTAAAGGTGCCAAATACTTAATTTTCGAGTTTCTCCTACAGCAGCTCATAGATCAACGGATAGACTTGTAGAGAGGAGCTCCACTTCATAATCAGATGCTTAGGTTCGTCTCTTCTAAATTATTCTTATTCTTCTCAGGTCTGCTCCTTTATTATCATCTTTGCATGTAGTTGAACTGAAATAATTTCTCAAAATTTGCTAGTGCTTATGGTATTCGAAATTAGGTGTCTCTTTCAAAGTTTTTCGAATTATTTTGATGGCACATCCAGTGCATGCTGAGCTAAAAGATTTAGTAAGATCCCTCCCGATTGAGAGCATTGTGAGGGAGGAGAACAGAGAGAGTATTGGAGGTCAGGCCTTTACATGTAACAGTGTATTTTCTCCAGCCCCAACCTCTGCACCTAAGCCTACTCGGTCTCCAGAAATTCCCTCTGTAACCACAGAAGCTCCGGTCGTAGAAATCCAAGAAGTGCAGTACAAGAACCCTATCATAGACAAAATCGACACTGAAGTAGACATTTTTCAGTACAAGCCTGAAACCCAAGTGTATAAGGAATGGCGAGAGGCAATCTTTAGAAGTCCGATTACTTCTGACAAGTTTGAGAAGGCCAGACTCCGGCGTGAATATTCATATATGAAGTAAGTACTAAATTTTTAACATTTATAGAGCAATCCAGAGCGTTTTGAACATCAAATCAGGACATTTAATCAGATTTTTGAACTATATCTCCGACAGCACCTCTGCAGCAACTCGACAAGGTGGGAAGATTGAGAAGAAATTTAGAGCTATGGTGGGCCAGTTTCCTAAAATCCGGTATGCCAATGATGACACCCTCCAGCTAGAGGAGAAACTTGATAGATTAGAGAAAGATCTTAAGCAGGAAATCTACCCAGGAATTCAATTTGAGAACGCTAAGGATGTCCAAATGGCAATCCATCATTTAGAGTATAAATATGGTTACAAACTAAGACAGAAAGTATTCGGGATTTATTTAGGCATTTTTTGGTTCATCTGTCCTATGAGCAAGCGAGAGTGTCCATTTGAGATGAAGTTTACTCGTAAGAACGTCAACCAGTTGATTGTACTTGAGAGATCTTGTTTTAAACATAACCATGACCCATGGAACCATGATAAGGATGCTATTCCTCCTCTTGATATGAAGATAATCGAGAAAATCAAAAATAATGAGGATATTTTTGATATTTCTCTGATTAAGGAACCCTCAGTAATCCAGAAAATACTTGCTGGGGAATCTCGCAAACAGTACATCGAGATCATTGACGATTCTCCGAAGAAACAGAAGACTAAGAACGAAGATTGTGTGATTGTATCCCCTCCTTTTATAGTCAAGAAAGTGAAAGAGTGACAAGAACCAGTTGTTTTAGATCTCACTTCGAGACTGATAGAGAGAGTTACTAAAAGGAAGAATGCACATAAAGAAGCTGCCCAGGTAAAGGATTTGACTCTCCCAACAGAGCTTATCAGTGAGCTCCGTCTGAAGTCAATTCATGGTGAAGGCAAGAAGAATCTGGTCAGCTATGCTCTTCAGAAGGTGATTCCTGATCGAGACCCAACAAGTGCTGAAAAGAGCAAGATCAGAAGTTCCGTGATCGGTATCATCAGTGATGCCAATACAAAGCATATGTCAGGTTTTCATCTTGAGAATTTGAAGAACATGATATCTACCAAATTCAATGAGAAGGTTGAATGTATTGACATTCCTTCGAATAATACCTCAAATGTGCTGATTGGTATCATAGCAAAGATAAAGGTTGACTCAAGTGTGACACCTTATCTAGTCCCAGGTCATTTTATGGTGACTAACAACATCTCACTGAAGACCATTTTTAAGGCAGAGACCATCATATTTTACCAACTTGACAAATTCCAAGGATTACAGATGAAGTATGTGGTCATCCTGCAAAAATTTGATAATCTGGCATTCATGCATCTCCTACAAATCCTGAAGCGTGAAGAAGAGTTTAAGTTCTTCTTGTGAGATCACCACGGACCAATCTTGGCTTGAATCAAAGACATGCAGACCTTAAACCCTGAGATCAAATACAGAATCTCGAAAGAAGTAATCATGGATGAGTTCTACAAACATGTGGGGCTCCAGAAGGATATCATCCTCAAAGCATTCATCGCGAAGATAAAGACATTCCTTAGCTCAAAAGATTACGACGCTTTACTCAAATTTTTGAATTCAGATTTTAAGGCACAATTAGAGACAAAAGCGAAGGAAGATTCTAAATCCAGAAAAATCTTTACATTTCTGATCGAGAACTTTACCGACTTGTTTAGGAATCTCGATAGAAGGAATGAAGTGGGGTTCTTCCCCAAGAACATCTTCTCAAAGTACTACGCTTGGGTTAGGGAAACCTCTCAGAGCACGAACAAAGACTTTTGACAATCTTTCAAGTTCCTTTTAGAGGATACCAGCCTGAATACCTTCCTTGAGAAGGGTTGCTTACGAGATGTGATCGGATACCGAGCCGAGACGATCCAGAAGTTGTTCACTGAGAGCGGGTCGTTACTCAATACAGAACAGTACACTGGGCAGCGCCTGGAAGAGACTATTCTCATCCTCGAGCTGATCAGCAAGTATTCCCCAAGTGTCACTCGAAAGATCATGCAATCCTATATAATCTCTGAGCATTGAAAAGTGATTATCCCGAATGTATTTGAAGAAATCAAGCAGATCATGGAAGCTGAAGAGCGAGGCAAAGCCCTACAGATGAAGACTGAAATCCTGGTGCTAGAGCATGACTATAAGAAGAACGGCATGCTTGTAGAGTTTAAGCTCAACCCACAGACTTTGAAGTGAAGCTGAGGCAGGCTCAGCCTCACTGGCATCACCTGCTGCCATGTGATAGCTTACCTTCTCAAAGGCATTAATCTCAAGATCTTGGAAGTACTCAGGAACGGATACCTAATTTCTCAAATTTGGGAAATAGACAACCAGGAAAAGATAGCAGCAAAGTATCTTTTGTGAATTTAAATCTTGGAATTAAAGCCCATTCTGGTATTATGGATGGAAAGTAAAGTGGGAGATTCAATTAAAAAATTTTCACAAAAGTTTCTAGCTAGAGATCAGGCTTTCACAATTCTCGATTATTATACCTAACCTTTCTAAACAGCCACATTAAAATTCTTTTCCCCAATATTTCCCTAAACATATTTCCCCTAAAAATCAACCAAAACACGTATAATTCAACTCAAACACCTCCAATTTTACAAATCCAAAAACCCAAAACCTCTCCAGTTCCCTCTGCACTCATTGCTTACTCTATTATCTTCCTAATTTCCCTCTAAACTCCCTTAAACGCTTTTTTATATCTCAATCAGCCTGGCTAATTATTCTGATTCTTATTTTAATAATAAACTAAGGAACAATTAGAGGAGGTAAACAAGGGGTTTTGGGGTTTTGGGGTTTTGGGG